GGGGGGGGGGGGTTGCTGAAGGGCTGGTTAGCCAACTTTGCTATGACAGGAAATGCTGGCTTTCAATTCCCTGACTATTTCTGAGTGCTTCCATTTACACTCATTTTGCCAAGATGAGAGAAAAATTGGAGGCTCTGATGTCAGGTGACCAATTCATTGTCCCCCTACGGGGCAAAGACTGACTCGAATGCGTGATTTCATCTGAGCTGTGGCTTGTGTTGTTTCAGATCGAACGTCCATCGTGCTTCCTCCTGAGGATCAAGTCGTGATTAAGGGGACCACGGCCATGCTGCACTGCGGAGCCACTCATGACCCCCGCATTTCTCTCCGGTCAGATAAGACATTTTTGATACATTTGGGACTGTTTATTAATATTCTGTGAACTTACCAAGGGAAGTGAAGATGAGAAGAATTTGGGGGCCGTTGATTTCAGCAGCAGATCCCTGATTACGGCATTTACAGTCATGGGCCCCGTCATTAATCACACGAATCCTATTTTCCACTCCAGCCTTATGTATTATTTACAGTGAGCTATGTTCCACTTCATGACTTCAATACAGCTTTTCATGATTTTTCTGCCAAGGTTAATACACTATCTGTAAAACGTACTTGTCAAGGGCTGATACTTAATGAGAGAAAAATCCAGCGGGATCGAATAGGATTTCAGTAGTGTTTACACTGGGGCTCTGCGCTGCTTGGAAGGGGTTTCCTCTGCTCCAGTGAGGGCTCTAGTGTACTGGGGAACAGGAGAGACCTGCACAGAGAGGAAGGCAGCTTCGGTTATCTAAGGCACAGAGCTGGAGGAAAATGCATGTAAAGAAGAAGACGGGTGATTCCAAGACTCACTAAAGCTACTTTCTTCCTGTCTGGGTTTGACCAAAAAAAAAAAAAAAATGATATTCCAGCTGAGTGCCTGGCTGCAGACAGGTGGGCTCAGTGGTGAGCTTTGTCTGCAAAGTGGCACTTACAGCAAAATGGTTTCTGATTTTTCCAATCAGCCTTGAAAGAGAGAGAGGGAGAGAGAGAGAGATTGAGAGAGGTCCAGCCACTATATCATTAGCTCCAGAGGCACCCACTCACTAAGCCAAAAACATGAACCAAGTTGCCTTTTGGCTTCCAGAGACATGGGTGATCATTAGTTGGTAATGCACTCTCCTGAGAAGGTATTTGGTAAACCGTGGATGTTCATTTCTCCACCTGGCACTCAAGGGCTCAAAAAAAGAAAGTTTGGTTTCATTACAGAACACTGGCCGCAAAACAAAATAAACAGGAAGTAGCAAGTTAAAGATTACTTAGCAAGTCCTTGGAGCCTGACCTGGAGATATGTATCATGACTAGAAAAAGAATCTGTTCACTCTAAATGATTTGAAGCAGGATTTCAAAGAATGAAGAACAAATAACTGTGGTTTTCTGCTCTCTGAGAGCTCACCAAGAATCCCCTTGGATGTGGGTGGTTTGCTTGAGGTTTTTATGTGTGATAAAGTAGGAGGCCCCTTCCTGACAAGCAGCTGGATTACTCAGCTTTATCTTGGCCCCAAAGACCCCAGGCTACAAATGACAAACCATCTCTTCCCTTCCTAGGGAATCAGTCCTGTCCTGTCTAAGTGATTTCAGATGAGTAGGTTGTCAAGATTTATGTTCTGTGAATACGAAGGCTTTCAAAAACTGTCTTATTTTGAAAATCTGATCAAATTATTCTAGGAAAATAAAAACAGCATTTTCATCTCCCCTAGCAGTAGTACTGGCCCTGCCCAGTGACATCTAAAGAGTGGACTGATAGTGGGAAAGGTACTAACATGGTCATGGAGGAAAATTAATGAGGAAGAAAAGCAATTTCTAAGAATTGTCTGCCAATCTTTACCAAAAAAAATTTTTAATAAAAAAAACAAAAGAACTGTCTGCCAGATGGGCAGATCAGATTGTGGGATTTTTTTTAAAGAATTTGCCTATATTGGGTAACTCTATCATGGAATTTTTTACCCAGCAGGCTTACTGTCCAGGAAATGCCCCCTGGTCCCTCAAGGAGCATCCTTTTGCACTAAAGTATTAGATGCAGCACAGGTGACAGCACACACCATTTCCCACTGACTCCCTGTTGCCAACACACAAGTATTTCCAGTCTTCTTCATTGTCCTGTTATAATAACGTCAGAATCTGCTTTCCTACACTGACCAAGATATCTGGATTCTTTTTTTTTCGTCGGTCATGGGGCTTGAACTCTGGGCCTGGATGCTGTCCCTGCGCTTTTCAGCTCAAGGCAAGCACTTTACTGCTTGAGCCACAGAGCCACTTCTGGTTTTTCTGGTGGTTTATTGGAGAGAAAGAGTCTCATGGACTTTCCTGCCTGGGCTGACTTTGAACTGCGATCCTCAGATCTCAGCCTCCTGAGTAGCTAGGATTATAGGCATGAGCCACCAACACCCGGCTGATATCTGGATTCTTTTGTTTCTCTTCTTTTCCACATCCCATAAAATGCACCATCTTAAAGAGCCTCAGACAATGACCTTCAGTACATTCACAAGGTCATCCATTGCTTGTTTTGAACAGCTAGGGAAGAGCTGGTTATCCCATCCATGTAGCTATTATAACCAAAAACCCTATGCTTGGCCCACAGCTATGTCTGGAAGAAGGACAATGTGGCCATCACCCCCTCTGGCAGCTCTAGAATCATGGTGGAGAAGGATGGATCCCTCCTTATTAGCCAGACATGGTCAGGTGACATCGGAGATTACACCTGTGAGATTCTGTCTGAGGGAGGCAACGATTCCAGAACAGCCCGGCTAGAAGTAATGTGAGTACCACCTGGACACTGCTCATTAGCCCGTATTGCCATGCCCTACTGGCACCTTTCCACACGATGGCCATTCTGTGTCTCAAGTCAGCCATCTGAGGTCAGCAGGCCAGCATAACAGCTAGCACATTGACAAGGCTTTTTCTGGGTTTCACTCGTGGTATGGGTGCATCAATTATAGCTATTGTCCCCATGGATCCTTTGTCACATTTCCCTCACAGAGATTATATCCTACAGGTTGTTCATGCTGCAGTTAAGTAACAATGAGGTCCTGTTTCTGTCTGATTGCCCATCAGAGCTTCCAATCAGTGAGAGATGTCAGGGTCGGCCTACCACAGGCCGGACCATGGTGTGACAGCCAACTACACTTTGGGCTTAAGTTAGTCCCAGCTGCCTCTCTGTGGGTAAATAGACACTTTCCATTAAGTCTTTTGAAATTCTGAAAATAGTAAGCAACTGCCCATTACTTCCAATCTAGGCCTTCCTGGGGGGTCCAGTGGCACAGGTGGAAGCTATTGATCTCCCCTGTGCCCTGTCTCTCTCGCTTCAGTTCCCTCTGTACTCACGGAGCAAGAAGCTGAAAGGCCTGCTGACAAATTCCACTTTTCCACCATATATTTATCTGCTTAAAAAAAAATCATGCCCTCCTAGATATTCCCCAGGCCCAAGAGTACAAAAATACAGCCTGAAAAGAAAGAATGGAAAGAGTGTGGTTGCCAGGGCAGCAGCCTGCCCACCAGCACACGCCTGCCCGCCCGCCCATCCCTGGCCAGTTCGGTCAGGAAAAGGCAATTTTGAGAGGGCTTTCATATGGACTTTGCCCACCTTGATCCAGGAAGAATTCTGTCCATGGAAATTATTCTCTAAAAATAGCACTAGAACATTTTGAGTACACGTGTCTCATTTGTCTGTGAATCCTCAGCCCAGCCAAGGGGATTAAGAATGAAAACAACGCTTGCTGAGTACCCTGCCTGGTGTGTTTCAAGCATGCATGAATGAACAAACAGGCTTAGGCTTCCATCCATCTCTGTGGTGGGGGTAGAAAAGGTTAACCAGGCATACTAGCCAGTCCAGAAAGTCCTGTTGTACCATTAGGAATGGAAATAATCTCATCCCTCTTCCCATCTGTCCCTAGCCAGTATATCCTTTTGGGAGCAAAGGTCACCCTAGTTAGTCTTGAGCCCTGTGTACCAAGGTCAGTCCTGGAAAGTCTTTGGCTCTGGGATCCAGGTTCTGCCCATTGACCCTAGGTTCTCTTTGGCCTCTTCATTCCAGTGCCTCCCCAGCTTGGGTCATGTATGCTGCTAGTATTACATGCTTTAAAGCACTAGGCCCTAGAACTCTCTCTTTCCTTTGGGCACAGAATGCCTCCCATAGTTCTGCCCAGGACCTGATTGATTCTGTCTTGTAGCACTCCTCACACTTGAAGGGACCAGCTACCTTCTCGGCTTCCTTTCCTGAAACACCTTGGTAATACAGTTTTGCATTCTATGTGCCTGGCACAGTGTTTGGTTTACCGCAGGTGCTCAATAAATATATGCTGGCTGATTGATTGGTTGAATAAATTGATGAATGGACTGGCATCAGGTGACTGGTCTCTGTCCCCCCTTGCCTCAGTGCCCATGTGTCCTGGCTTCCCCCATGAATAATGAATAGCTTCCTGGTGCCATCAAATCCCTTTCCTCTACCTTCCAGACCTCAGGTCCAGGATTTTCCCCCCTTTCTTTCTGATGATGATGTTGGAGGACCTAGCTGTGCTATGCACATTTTTTAAACTACCTTTGAGAACTCTTGGATCACCCATTGTCAGTATCAAATAAATACGTGTTAGCAGTTCATAAGGACTCTGTCAGCAGAAGCCAAATTGCATACTTCCAATATAACACATTCTTTTTATTCTACACAATTTTTATGTTCCACTGATTTACATATCTTCCCTCCTATTTGCTTATTTGATTTCCTCTAAGTAAAACACATTTTTTCAGCAACCGTTGCTGTATGTATGAAATAATAGGCTTTCTTTATGCTAGTAAAACAGCTCATCTCTAAATATAGAAATATTTGCAGATTTGTGATTCAAAACAATTTAAGTGGTGCAGGTTGCAGAGCTGATTTGGAAGGCTGTGGGGTTTGGGAAGTTGTTGGTATAATAAATGCTGGTATTGGTTGACAATAAACACTACATCAGATGCATGTCTTCAGATCCAAACTGGTCCTGGGCTCTAGGACATTCGCAATGACTGTCATGACACTGACTACAAGCATCCTGTGCTTCTCAGAGAATGGTTCAGATAGAGCCCTGTGATATTTCCATGATATACCCAGGTGACCAAAGTATAAATAAATAAATAAAGCCAAAAAACCCTCATATTGTTCAAGAGACTGAGAGATACTTATGGCTAACCAGGGTCCTTCAAAAGCCTGACTGTCCATTTCTCCTTTCCCTCTCCACTTCAGTTAAAAGCCACTTTATTAAATATAGAAATTAGGAGCATTAGAAGAGATTTTCAAAAATAGACCATCTAGTGTGTGTCCTCATGCCTGTTCAGTCCTTTAGCATGAAACTAAGCTCTGGTTGTGCCATCACTAGGTCAAGGAACAGCTAGCTTCCTGCTCATGGGGGCTGGGACAGGGCTCTTGGTCAGGCTGATAGGGGCTCTATACCCATCCGCTGGTTGTGGGGCTTTGGGGAGGTTGTCTTTTCTGCCTTGGTTTGTTCAGTTTGTAGACTGATCATTAATGTCACTGACTGCAAAGAATTGAGATCAAGACTGTATAGCCATGGTCGGTACCATCCTGCATGGAGCTAGAAGGAAAATGGACTCTGCAAAAATTGCAGTGCATATCTGCAATCCCAGATACTCAGGAGTGGTAGACATAGGAGGATCACAGTTCCAGGCCAGCCTGACCAAAGCTAGGGAGACCCTCTCTCTAAAACAAGCCAAGCAAACACATGTATGGATAGAAGTTACTGACATCCTATCTCATAAACAAACTAAAAATCATGGAGTTGTGACTCAAGTAGTAGAGCACCTACCTAGCAAGTATGAGGTGCTGAGTTCAAACCCCAGTATTGTAACTCCTATCATTTCTTGTCCATCTTGGAAAGAGGACCACTACTATCTGCATTACAATTGCCATGACAGGGGCTGGATACTTTCATCCCGATGAGCACACTGTATTTGACCATCTGACCCAGGAAAGGTAACACCTCTTGCTGAGCCCCTATTGCCTGCAGCAATACCAGCTACGTAGTAAGTATCTAATAAATATCTGAATAAGCCTCACTCTACTTACTAAGTTCAACTAGGAGGGGTCTGTTTTGTATCACGAAGGACAACTAATTTTATATGGACTCTGCTTTATACAGTCTTTAAGAAAGAGGAGCTTCTAAAATTCCAGATGTTTCTCTGTCATGGCCTGTGAATTAACAGTAGAGGTCATTATCATTAAACATTGTCGCCCTTCATTTTAGTCCTGTCCTTCAAATTTACTGGTGCCATAGAGCAAGAGCATGGCCATAAGATGACTCTGCCCCCTCCCAAAGCTTCCTGCCTTATTGAGCACACCAAAGGGACCAGGCTCCTGAGGCTTTATGGATTGATTAATTGTTCAATCATTTAAAGACCCAATTAGCATTGCCTCTCTCCTCCTGAAATCAGAGACTAATTCTTATGAGTACAGAGAAAACCTAATTTACAGAGCAACTGGACAATTCAGACCCTGAGGCAGAGAAAGAAAGGTTTGGGGTGGGTTTTTTTTCCTTCCAACAAAACTACTTCTGACAAAGACATAATCAGGAGTGAGCAATTTAATACCCTCCACCAGTGTTATCAGACCCATCGCCTTCCTCCTTCAAGCTGCCGAAGATTGATTTGAGCAACTTATCATTTATGCATCAGAGGGCCAATGCTTTCCAGATGGAGACACTGACCTGACCCTCTTCTGCCTAAGCAATTCCCCCTCCACCAAGATTGTGCCAATTGCCCTCTCTTATCCTTTCTGGAGCTCTTTCTCTCTCCCACACCTCAGTCTCCTTCCCATCCAGTCCTGGCTTTAGTCATTGTGATGTGATGGTGGTGTGATCAGCTCATGGATGAGCCCCCAAGCCTCTTTACAGGGCACAGTGACTCAGAGCTCAGCTTCATTTCCCTTGTTCCCTTGTCTTCTGTGGGTCATCCATTGGGTATCACTGTCTGTGAGTCACAGCAGATCATTTATCTCCTTCCAAAGTTGGCAGAGAGACCCTGGGTGCAATCTACTCCTATTAGATAAGATGTTCCGAAATGGACTTGGAATACATTAGAGCCTCATTGTATCTGTGATTGACAGGATGGTCAAGGGCTTCCCAAAGCTTCATTTCCAAGATAACTAGAACTTATTTAAAGGAACATTGTCGATGCATAAAGAGCTCTGAGCATACCTAAACAGGTGGTGTTGGACATAAGAGGTATTATAGAGGCACTGTTCATACAGGATAGGAGAAAAAACAGGTAAAGACAGATCTCCTTCCAACCCTGCATCATGTGGTGTTTGCAGAAACCTCCTCTGCACTGGGCTATCACAATGGGTGTGGCACTGAGATACTGGCCCTGATGGGCGAGGGCCACCACATCTCTATAGGAAAGTGCAGGGATGTCCTTGGATGCTGCTAGGCTCCTAGCTCTCAATTCCTACACTAAATGTCTTAGGACTACATTGCTCTTTAAGTTCTTTTTTTTTAATTTATTTAGAAAAAAAATTTTTAAGCCTGGCATGGTGGTATACACTGTAATCCTAGCACTCCAAAGAGTTTGAGGCCAGCTTTGGCTACACAGTGAAACCCTGTTTGAAGTGTATATGTGTGTGTGTGTCTGTCTGTCTATCTGTCTGTCTGTGTCTGTGTCTGTGTGTCCTGTGTGTCTCTGTGTGTCTCTGTGCAAAATTTGTTCTGGAGTAGGGAAGAGATAACATTGAAATTGCAAAATTAAAACAATTGTTTCCGTGCTTATAAATGACCAGAAAAGACTGGTTGTCCTCTCTAAGTAAGGCTAGAGATTGTCAACTTTTCCTTAAGATACAATCAAAGCAAATAATGTTACCATAAAGGTTTTTTAAAAAATTTTTATTGAAAAGGTGATATACAGAGGGGTTGCAGTTACATTAGTCAGGTAATAAGTACATTTCTTTTTCAAATGTGTCACCACTTCCCTCATTTTCTCCCAGTTTTTTCCCTCTTGACACACACACACACACACACACATATATGTACATATATATCTTAAGTATTTTTTTAAATCCCTACCCTCTGGTTCTTAGCACACCTGTTACATTTAAACTCAGGGTCTCTGCTTGCTAGGCAGGTGCCCTGGAGCTTCAGCCCCTGTTGCCTTCTCTCACTGCTTCAGTTCATCTGGAGATGGGAACTCAGAAGCCACACTGACTTTAATTATACAGAAAAACAAGCGAGCGATAAGGCTGACATGGAGAGCTGTGCATAAGCACACTCTGAAGTGCTCAGTGTATGGTCCTCCAGCCTCAAGACAAAGGCTTTCCACCCCTGTGTGTGATAGGTCTTTTCCATGTGCTCCCTGGACTGAAATTTGGGCAAAGAAAAGCTCTCATTTTGGTGGGAAACTGACATATAACTCATTGTCAGCTCCTCTGAAATATATAGTTACAGTTGTTTCCTGTCTTGTCATGAAGTGCCACTTGTAGCTCCCAGGGTCTCATCATGTTGTTTGGGAGACCAAGCTGCTCTCACATCTGTCTGCTGGCAGGAAGCCTCTCTAGAATACTAGCTACATCCTGACCCACAACACTGGCCAGCACTACTCATCCTCCAAGTTCATGGTGGCTGTGTCAGAAAACCATACATTCTGGAGAGCAACTTTACCATGGAATTCTCACACCAGTGACCTGAAATTAGCACAGACCTTGCAAGTCAAAGGCACAGCCCTCAACACAACTGCCTACATGGCATGGCAGCAGCCACACAATCGGGGGCTTCCAAAATAACCACATGTCTTATTAGTTAGTAAAAACACAAGGCTTCCCACTGTTCCCTCAGGGGCAGTATCTCTACCCAGAACTCAGGAAAGTCCTTACATTAGATTCCATCTCTCTCTCTCTCTCTCTCTCTCTCTCTCTCTCTCTCTCTCTGTATGCATCTGTGTGTCTTGTGTATGTATGAGTGTGTGTGCGTGTGTTGTGTGTATACATATGTACATGCATGTACCAGTACTGAAGCTTAAACTCTGAGATGCTTGTTCTTGGCTTTTTTGTTTCTCATGGCTTGGGCTCTAGGACTTGATCTTTCTGTTGCTTAACTGGAGGTGAGAGTCTCACAGATTTATCTGCCTGGGCTGGCTTCAAACCACAATCCCCAAATCTCAGCCTCCTGAATATATGGGCTTATGGGAATAAACTACTGGTGCCTTGCTAATGATTACATCTTTCTCATAAAGGAGAAAAAAACAGGACCTGACAAGTGAAGAGATGCATGAGGTATGATCTAGAAGGTCCTGACTTAAAGCTCCTATATCATCCCACCTTCCTGAGACCTACCAGAGAAGTGTCATGCTCCCATAGTCCACAGCCAGGAAGTTTCAACTGAGCCTCAGTGTCCAGAGCCTCCATGATTGATTGAGTCATTGCTATGTGATTGAGTTCAGTCTCTAGCCTCCATCCCTTTCCAGGGTGAGAAGGTTGGGTAGATACCACTAGCTGGAACCTGCATCCTCCAATCACCTGGCTAGCCTTTCCATCACGTACCCCAGATCTCCCTGGGTCAACTCATAAGCCTACACTCAGGTATGGTCCAAGAGCCCCTCTCTGACTGGAGGGAACTGTCTTGAAGGACAATTCAGTTCCTCAGGGATGCCCAAAGGCTTTAAAGTTCTATCCCAGACCAGAGAAATTCACTGTCATTCAACAATCTTATTGGCATGTATCTATCTAAGGTTACTTTTCAGTTGTCTTCAGATTGTTTATTAACCTGGGTGTATTTGATTATTTCTTTGGTTTCAGATCAAACCAGTTTCAGGGAATAAAAATAGGAAATAGGGATTTAAAGAAGAGTTTTTGTTTTGTTTTGTTTTTATCCCGGTATTCTTTCATATTGGTCTTTATTGGAAATACGATGGTAGTTCAGTTACTGGGAAACTCAAACAGAAATAACAGCCCTTTCTCTGATTTAAAACTTAATTCACACTAAGCAGAAAACAAGACTACATTTCAGACTGAAGTTTATGCTTCACTGTGCTAATGTACAATGTGGTTCTTGTCTCCATGAGAAATAGTGGTCTGTTTATACACTGTGTGGGTTTGGGAGAGCTGTGTTTCTCAGGTAGCTGACGGAACAAATCAGCTTCATAAATTGCAAAGTATAATGAGTATGTATTAAAGTTTTAGATGTAATGACAGGGTTTTGTTGAGCCATGTGGTTCTTCAGTGAGTGATGTCTAAGGGATACCCAGAGCTAGTTAATGGGTGACATGGGATGCCTCAGCACCCCTTTTCCCAGCACTGCCAGGGAACATTTATAAAAGGTTTTATTCGCCCAGCATGTCCTCAGAACAGCACCTGTCCAGCCCCTGGAAATGTGGGGTTAAACACTGAGCTGGGGATGGAGGGAGGTTGCTTGGGGCTTCCAGGTCACAAACCTGTCCTTGGCAAAGACCATGAAGAAGTGGGGTTGTACAGCTTTGTCACCAGCAAATCCCAGAAAAACTTCATTAGAATTTATTTACTTTAATTGCATCTCCATTTTATGGACTGCTGATGTGTTATTTACCATTTCCATGGGATTTTAGTTAGTGTTTTCACCACATTTCCTTTGAAGAGCTTTCCCCAAACCGCCATTAGCTGGCAGAAGACAGAATGACAATATAGCTACATGCTGTCAATAAATGAGTCGATTCTGTTTGGCTAAGAATGCATATGGGCATTTTTGCTAATAACTCCAAATGCTAGTGTGGAAAACTTCTACTCAGAGTCACCCCTGCCAGGTTTTTTCCTCTTTATATGGTTTCCTGTCTTTCTGTTGACCAAGTTTTGTCTTTGATAATAAATCTTTTACAAACACTCAGGAGGCTGAGATGTAGAAAATCACAGTTTGAAGCTATCCAGGGAAGAAAAATCCATAAGACTTTTATATACAAAATAACCACCAAAAGCCAAGCTGGAAGCAGAGCTGAAGTGGTAGAGAAGCAGCTTTAACAAGCAAGCTGAGCAAGCATGAGGTCCTGAGTTCAAACCCAAATACCAGAAAAAGAATTTGCAGACTGAATCCCACTTAAGTTGTTTCAGTACCATAGGGATCATGATAGGGATCATGTTCAGGAAACAAAATAACACAGTACGTGCTGAAGCACAGCTTTGTCTCTTTCTAGGCAAGAATGTTTGGGGCATACTTTATGTTCTCAGTTTCCAAATGTCATACACCAGAAATCCTACAGCATGAGTACCAAACTTCCTCTCAACCTGATACCCTTTTCTTTTGTTCTTTTTCCCTCTTTCCTTCAAGTGAACTGCCTCACCCACCTCAAAACCTCCTGGCCAGCCTGAGCCCCTCGCACAGCCACTCAGTGACGCTTTCCTGGGTACGGCCCTTCGATGGCAACAGTCCCGTCCTCTACTACATTGTGGAGCTGTCTGAAAACAGTAAGTGAGACAGCACTGCTGCCCTGAGCAGACATCAGATTCGCCCTTGGATTCCCATGCTATAATCTCACTGCTGGTCTGGATCCCAGCGACCAGAGAAATGTAAGCATCCATGCTTTACTGCCTTTGAAGGAAAAATGTGTCCCACAATGCAGAAAAGGCTAGGTCATGTGGGCCATGCGTGGAAGGCAGCAGCCTGGAATGCTCTTTGTGATGGACTAGATTTGTGGGGCAGCCAGAAGGTGATGGTGCACTCAAGGGCTGCTCTGAAAGGGGTGAGGTGCCTCCCTCTTTCCCTTAGGGAAGGTTTGAGAGTTCACTGCAGCCATTTCCACCTTGAGAAATTTTCTGTTGTGTACATATGGTGCCAAGCACTGCACAGACCTGTGATTTCCTCCTGCCTCAGCTCTCCACAACCTTTAACTTAACCTTGGTGCATAGCCATATGAGTGGCTCCTTCTTGGGAGCACCCTTGCTTCCCTCCAGCCATCCTGACTCCCACCCCAGCCTTTGTTTCTCACCACCCCCGCCCCCAGCTGCTTGCTCCTCTGCTGTCCCTACATCTCTTCCCCCATCTTCATGATGGGCTAACACATCTTGACTTCAGGATAGCCAAGTCTGGCATCCTCTTAATGTCCCTTCCCTGATGTCTCCAGCTTCCTGGTGAGGCTGCTCCCTTCAGTGGACAGACTCAGCCTACAGGGTCCTGTCCACACTTTCCACTCACCCAACCCACGCTTGCTTCATGCAGCTGTTGGTGTGACCGATGTCATTACCCCTCCTCTTCTTCTTTGGTAAAACATCTTTATTTGATGGCAACACCACACCAGTCACAGCTTCAATGTCTGCTTCTTACTTCATGGCCAAATTGAAGGATGTGTAGCATGGCCCAGGGTCACACAGCCAGTAATGGGTGGCAGTGGAGCCTCCAGCTGTCTAACTCAGGAGCCTGGCTCTCCAGGCCTCTGTTAGGCATCCTGGAGCCCGTTTTCTCTCCTGTACTCTAGTGGTGGCTTTGCAGTGGTGGCTGGCCAGCTAAAAAGTGCATCGAGGTTCATGCTGCTGGCCATTCAAAGGTGCCACATGTGAACCTAGGCTTGATTTGGGTATGTTCCTTCCTAACCAGCCCACTGGGGGAGGGCTCAAAAGCCATGTTTTGTTTTCAGTCCTGGATTCCAAAGTTTACACCTTTGTTATGCCAGCCCCAGTCTTGAGTATAGCTCAGAGTAAGACACTGGAATTGTACCCTTTTTTCTTCCCTGTGGAGTCCCTGGTCACTGACTAGCCTCCATCCATGCAGAGAACCATGTGGAGACCAGCCACTCACAGTGTCTTTGTTTCAGCTCAGCTACACCAACTAGAGAAAGAAGGGTCAGCTGTATTTATTAAAATAATCTTTGAGAAGATGAGGTTTTCCTGAGGGTGTCACAGCTGTGACGCCTGTGAGTGTGTGTGAAGAGAATGTGACAGGAGCAGAGCTCTTGTCATCCAAAGTCTGACAGATACCCACCCTACCAACAGCCATCAGCAGGCCTCTGTCTCTTGAGACAGATCTGGGTCCTATGTCTCTCTGTGTCCCTGGTCCCTTGTGCTTAGTAGCTACTCATCAAATAAGATAACAAAAAAATCTCTCTGGTAGAGCCCCCAAGACAGACTCAGATTTACAGCCTTTGGCTGTCTTCCAGAAGGAAAAAGTTCTACCTTCCTGTTATATATCAAAGACAACACTGCTTCAAGATGCCATACCAGCTGTTAGCCTGGCTGATGGCATGACTGGTTCGTCCTGACAGACATCTTGCCAAAATCAGACATATGCTTTATGTGCAACCAACCAACCATCCATCCATCCATCCATCCATCCATCCATCCGTGCACCCATGTATCTGTGTGACAGTTTCTTGTCTACACCAATCACTCTTCTGGATGCTAGGATAACAACTAAGAGGTCAATTTCAATGACATCAGGGTCCATGGGTCACTACCCTTGCTTTTGTTTTCTCAGCACTGAGGATTGAACCCATGATCATAGACCTGCTAGGCATGCATTCTACCCTCTTACCACAAGGCCAGCCCTTGTGTGTCATAGACTGACCAATGGTAGTCAAGAGAGTACCTGCCACAACTCTAAATGCTGCTTTGTTCCATTGAGGGAGCAATGCAGAACCTTGTTGGGGTCTCATTAACCTGTGGCCCTCCCAAATGGATCCATCTTGAGCCTTCCCATCAATAGGGGGGGTAGGCATGGCTGGCAAAAGTCCCAGCCATTTGGCCTTCAGAGCTGCCTCTGCAGGTATCATTGAATGAAGAGACTCAAGAGTGACTAAATGGCGATCTCTGGGCTGTCCCTGACTGTAGCAGCATAAGGTATATCTGTGGCTTTGGTTGCAGCCTGGTCATGTGCCCTCCTGCCACAGCAAACAGTAAGCTCAGTTCCATCATCCCAGCTGGCTATCAGATTTTTATTTTTATTAGGAATGAGCACCCTTCAGTAGCAGCTGAACATGTGGGCTGATTACAGCCAGAAAGAACCGCTTAGCAGCAAATGCACTGGGATGGAAATTGTGCTTGGCTTCCCCTCAGTACTGTGCAATTGGACAATGGTGCTGAATAGCCCAGTCCAAAAGCCCCTCCCCTCTACTCCCAGGGACAGCCTCATCACCAGCTCCTCCTAGCAAGCTGAGGACATTTCTGTCCTCTTGGAAATCACAGATCCAGCAGGGGCTACACAGACGTGGCTTAGTGGCTGGCCAAGGCCAGGGTTTCATGACACCTGCCCTCCGACCACTCCTGCCTTCACAGAGGGGCCTCTGCCAAGCTCTACAGAGCAGCATTCTGGAGCTGTGTCTTCATCTCTGAACATGGTTCAGTCCACCCCTGCTAACCTCAGGGACCTTGGTAATTCTGTCCACTTGGAACTCTGTGCCTGTGGTTTGGCTTATGTCCCTCTCTTCTCACCTCTTCCTCATTTGTCAGGAAGTACAAGCAAGGCCAAGCCAACTCCCCTGCCTGTAGCCCCTGTGAGCATGGCAGAGTGGGCTCCATGGGCTCTGCCCAGAGATAGGGGATACTTTCTTCCTCACCATCCCCTCTACCATTGTGTGCCCTACTTCTTTCTACCTCAGCTTGAGCACTGTGGTGGCCCAGCTTCTAATCAGATGGCTGTCTTTGTTCCTGCCTGTATAGGATGCCTCATTGCTTAGATTCCAGGCTTGTTAGCATGGCACATAGCACTGTTCCCCATCTGACCACTCTGCCTCTCTACGTGTGCCACCAGCCACCCATGGATTTTTGTGCTTATAGCCCCTGAACATACTAGATACTCAGTGTCCAGCATGTCACAAATTCTCTTCCCATTCCTGCCCTTCTGCCTTGGCCTGTCAGCTCCTACTTAGCATCTTCTATGAGATGTTGCCCTGGTCCAGAGGGAAGGTCCTTTTTGAGTCTTCCAGAGGTCATAGCCAATGGCTTCTTTGGCTAAGAGCAAGCATCCCCTCCTGCTCTGGGGGTGCTGTCCTTGGTGCTGAGATACACATTATGGAGACAAAAGCCCTAAGCACAGCACTGGGCAGAATCCTAGAAGTGGGGTATCTAGGAGGAAGTGATGTTAGTCATTGCCCTACTCGTTTTGTGAAGATGTTCTCCTGTTTTCAGGGGATTTGTGGTTTTGAGTTTCAGGTCTTTGGGTATCTGCCTGAGTATGCAATTTTTGGTTGATGGCACTATTGGACCCAATTTGCCACGGGGCGGGGGTGGCTTTTTGTACTGTTCTCGGCTGTGATCTGTTATTCCTCTTTTGCCATTTTTTTATCCGGGCATTAAGGTGTTTCCTGTCATCTGTGACAAGTCTTTTTTTTCCAATTTGCTTTTACCTGTAATTTTTGTGCATTACTTTTTGACATAGAGAAGTGTTTGATTCTTACAAAGTTAAGTATATTGATATTTCTCTTTACTACTTCATTACTTTTGTGTCTCGATATTTTAACACAATCAAGCAAAAAGTAAATATAAAATTCACCTTGTTTTTAAAGCGTTGGTTTTTAATGCACTTAACTCTTTAAATTCATTTGGAATGTTAAGGATACTATATAATCTGACACAAGAGTTTTTTCTTCCTTAAATGAACTGTTTTACTAGCAAGATTTATTGAATAGGGGCTGGGAAGGTGGCTCAGTGGTAGAGCACTTGCCTTGCATGCATGAGGCCCTGGGTTCGATTCCTCAGCACCACATAAGCAAAAAAGAAAAAAG